GTCGCCTACTTTGATCTTCCTGCAAGGCAGCAATTGTCAAATATGAGAAACAGACTTCATTTCACTAAAAAGTGAGTAAGAAACGGACAAATTTTTAAAATGTCGGATGTAAAATTGCAGCTTACGAGCTTGATATGTAGTCGATACCCTGCGGTGTCAGCTTTTCATATTTTTCACTGTTCAATTCGCGATCTCTCAAAAACCGCACAAAATCGTCCATTGCTTCCCGAATCAATGTTACTGTTAGAACAAACCCCTATAAATTCTGATTACCACTTCAGATTTCAACAAAAAATAAATGACGGCGCACACTAGGGTGGCACATGCGATCATTCGTTTTATGCAATCCTGCCAGCGAACGTTTGTGCAATTCTGTCCGGCCGACATTTGTACAACCCTGTCCAGGTAACGTTTATGTAGCTCTGTCCTGGGAAACCTTTCTATTAAAAGTGTCCATGCACTAATGTTTAATATGTACAGAAATTTTTGTGGTTCTCGAGTTATTAATTTTGACACCAAAATTTCGTGTTTCTGTGTGTGGGGCCTAAGCCCGCGGGGACTAATTTATACGCCGGTAAGGAGCAATATTCTGAAATTTCAGTTTCCTAAATTTGTTGGCTCCCAGATCATTAATTTTGGCACCGAGGCTTTCACGTGTCTACGTGGAACTAAGGCTATGAAAACGCTGATTTTCCCCAGTTATTAACTTAGGCCCCAAAAATTTCATGTGACCGTATGTGAGACCTAGGCGCACGCGAACGCTGAATTTGAGTTTGCAAGCACATACCAGCAGAGGGTCTCCTCTTAAAATTCAGCTCGCTAGCTTTTCTAACTGCCGAGTTAAAACTTCCGGACAAAACGCACTCGAAATATGAACACACACGCACACAAACAAACAAGCAGAGTCTCGACAGTACGCGTTTTGTGCAAGTGTTACAGCACAAAACGCATAATAATAACCAACGGGCTACTTAAAGAAGTTTAGTCGCAAACGAAGCCTTACCAATGGCCCCCAATATGTGATCGGTGCTCCAATTTGAATCGCTGGAATGAACTGACTGCATGCCATCAGCAAGAAGTACAGGTTCAGGAAGAACTTGAACTGTTGGAAAAGAACCTGCAATTTATTGTAGGATGAGCAATTATGATTTATACGAGAAATGTCGCAGAATCGCCAAAGAATTTCATACTGTTTTGGTCCACAAAAATCCTATAGGCTTTAGAGAGTTCATCAAAAGCAGGTTTCTTTAGTAATAATGAATGAAATGAGAAAAAAAATCAGAAAAAAGGGTGCAATTTATGAGAAATTTGAAAAAAAGGAAAGCAAAAAAATAAGACCAGCAGAAGAAAAAGGGCAAAAAATAAAAATAAAGAAATGGAAAAAAGTCGCAATCAAAAATGGAACGTCCTTACTTGTAATAAACGATTTGCTCGCTCAGGTACAAATGAACTGAGAGAGACAGCACAGACAAATAACGAAATGGGTTTGGGATTAAACAGAAAAAAAGCAAGACAGCTCTCACCGGGCTGCAAGACGTCTTCCACGATAATAATAGAACCTACTGTTAAAGTTAACCGTAATTCCACTTGTTACCAATCCTTCTATGTATGGAAGTGGAACGTGGACTATCAAGTTTTGCCCGTGAGGGAAGAAAAAAGCCAGCAAGATTTGCTCCACGAAAATAATACAGCTCCAGTCTTATGTGAGCGACTATAAAAAGACAAGATAAGCCAAGGCGTGCAACAAGAATGCCAAACAGATGAACAAAGCAGATTACTGAATGATGCCCACACTGTTTTAAAACAGGGAGAATCGCCAATGCGACAGAACGACCCGCATGAACGACTACATGGGAATATGTCGATCAAAGAAATCCAAAACAAAAAAGAATGGGGAAGTTGTAAGCTACAAAAATGCAAAAATGAAGCAGCACCTAATTAACATATCAGTGTGCCCATAAATGGGCTGAAATACTCCCAACATCAGAAAATTTATCAAAACATTCACTGGAGCTTTACCTACCAGCGGAACGAACGTGAAGATGTTGTATTTCTGGTTGCAAACTGTATTTGGTGGAAATGAGCGCGCCGACCCGAGCACCGGTCCATGGCCAACTCTTATCGTCCTGGAATGCAATGTGCGCCTTCGACGGAGAAAATTCCAGCAACATCTAAAATTATGCATTCTTTGAGGGTTTTTTTCAAACAGATACTTAATATTCGATAATATTTGGTCTGATTTGGTTCTGATTTGATTTTGATTGGATTCATCAGTGGCGCAGCCGATAACTATGTCATTTTCTTTATTCTTCATTTCGTAGCTGTTTTGGTCAGTGCTGCATCGCTTGATGGTCAGCATTCTTGGCCATTCTGACGTTCGTTTTGCCTCTTTAAATATGAATTATTGAACCAACTGCTGTGAAAAATAACCTACAGAAAATAAGTTGCC